CTCCTTTCTTCTCCCACTTAGTGGGAGAAGAAAGTCTCTTAAAGTGTTTTGAAGGGAAGCAGGTGAATGCCACAGCCCTTTCTGTCAAAAAGTAGGTGTTTGCAGAGCAGTGGTATCACCCCCCCCCTTAAGGTGTCACCTAGTGTGGTCTGCACCCCCTATTGATGCCACTGAGTAGAGCACTGGGTTTCCCTTCCCACAAGTCTCTCTCTCTCCCTCTCCTCACCTACAAAGTGGAAGAGTCCTGCTGTGAAATTGAAACCTTGATGCCTTCCTTTCTCTTTGTCCTCCAGCAGCTTCAGGCTGTTCTTTTTTTGCCAGAAGGGGAAGAAAATGGTTGTTCTTGTTTTTATCATATTGAACTTATACCCAGATTGGAATACTAGAGTTGACATAAATCTGAAAAGGGGAGACCCATCAGGAAGAGGTGCTTGGCTGTATACATTGCAAACTTTTTTTTAAAAAAAAACTGACTTGTTTTCTATTCTTACTAATGCCCTGTGGCAGAAATTCAGCCAGCAGAGCTGTCCCTCCCCATCCCTGCAAACATTTCTTCATAGTACTAGGAAAAATCCCACCTCTTGATTTTTGTTTGTATTTGCCTGTCTGCCAGTTGTTAAAGTCTTGGGGGGGAGGGAGGTTGGGGAACTTTCAAACTTTCATTAATTAGTTAATTAATGTCTTGATTCAGAATAATTTCTTTCTTTCTGTGCTGATTTGAATTAGAATCATACTTATAAAGGATGAAAAAATATCCCCCATATATGCACTTCAATCTTTGGTGAAATTTCCATGAAATAAATGTAGCTTTCCTCATCTGAGTTTTAAACAGTTTTGCATATTAAATAATATGCCAGCCATTTTTTATTGTTGTACTTATAAAGTGCCATATCAATTTATGGTGCTATATAAAAATGATGATGATGATGGTGATGGTGATGGTGATGATGATGATACAACTGAAATATATAATAAAATAATGATAAATGATGTCAAAATGTGTGTAGGGTGTTTTTGTTTTTTTAATTGATAATCCACCCAAACCAGTCCCCATATACTTTTGGTCCCTGTTTTGTGAAAGAGTTATGGCAACCCTACATTTAACATCATCTCTAATTTGGTCCAAAATCTTAATAGATAACAAATGTCTTGAAAAATTCTAAACAGTGCATGATGATAAAGAATTCTTTTTTAATTTACTGAAATATGTGACAGAAATGATTTACCATTGTGAAGATTGTCAAGGACCTGAAATGATGGGG